CTTTGACATTAAAACAACTTATCATTAGATCATACAAAACTATTATTAGCTGAAAATGTATTTGGATATTGAAAAATATATCAAAATATGTAATATATGTCAATGCAAAGAAAAAACAATCCTCTACACCTAATAGAAAGTAAAGAATCTTTTGAAAAAATCAGAATAGACTTAGTTGGATCACTTACATCAACAAAAGATGGATATAAATTCATAGTAGTCATTATAGATTATTATATCAAATGATCAGAAGCAAGAGCAATACTCAACAGTATAGCTGAATCAATAATTCCATTTCTATATGAAGATATATTTTGCTGACATGAATTTTCAAAAGAAATAATATCAGACAGAGGAACAATATTTGCCAATGAACTAATTAGAAAGCTTTGTGACAAATATCAGATCAAACACCATCTCTTGACTCTGTATTATTCACAAACTAATGGATTAGTAGAAAGATTAAACAAAATATTATATGACACAATTGGAAAATTAGTTCAATTACATGGAAAAGAATGAAATGAATATCTTCTATCAGTACTTTTTGCTTATAGAACAATGCAACAAAATTCAACAAAGTTCATTCCATTTTACTTTACTTATGAAAGACAAGCAATCACACTACTAGATCTTAAATTATTACCATTTGAAAGTGAAGATCAAATAACTTCAAATGAAATAATTAAATGAACTTGTATTATAATAGACAAATTAGAATTAGACTGAACAATCACTCAACAAAATATAAAAAAGTCACAACAAAAGCAGAAAGAAATTTACCAACAAGATAATCAACTACAATCTTTTGAAATTGGAGAAAAAGTTCTAATGAAGAGAATGGAAATACAACATTGGTACCATGAAAAATTTGCTCAAAAGTGAAAAGGACTGTTCTATATTCATCAAGCTCTTAATAAAGATGCATATTGACTTAGAACAATGAATAGAAAAGTTTTTAAAAATTCATATAATGGAAATCATTAAAGTATTATATTGAAAATAATAATCTGAAATTCATAATTATAATTTAAGATTAATCAATAAACTGATCAAGAAGTCAATAAACTAAGCTAACGAAATTGATTAAATCTTATGTCACCTTAACTGGAACAAGAATCATAATTAATACAAAATGACAACTCAAAAAACACCAACTACTTTGAAAAATTATCATTGATTAAAAAGCTATTATTCACAACTAACAGTTCATAATAGACTTTATAATTTGTCACATATTTGCAAATTAAAATATTAGAGTAATTCACCACATAAAGGATACAAATGCAATGACTGTGATGAAATGAAAACAGTTATTGAAATGGAAGATTATTTAAAAGAAAAACACAAAAATAGACAATATACATTAACTGGATGTACTTGTCACTGATGTAAAAATTATCAACAAATAATATATATTGAATGCAGAATTTGTGCTGAAAATACCATAGAAAATGTTACTATATTATTATTAGATGAAGATAAAGATAAAATTGAAGATTTACATCAATGATAAAAAGAAAATTTATTATTATAATGAAGAAGAAGATTTATCTCTAGATGGAAGAAGAGGTTAAGAAATACCTTATCAACAAATAGAAGAAGAATTTGTTGAAGAAAATAATGATGAAGAGAAAATAGATCCATCCCAAATAGAAGAAGATTATTCTCACTATTATCCTGATTATTATTATAATGAAAAAATAGAACAACATTATCCTTTCTATAGCTGAAAAGATATTCCTCTCAAAGATAATAGTGAAGTATTTTCTCATCATCATCACCTTCCTCACCTTCATCATCATCTACAAGAAAATGCAGAATCCTCAGCATTGTGATCTGAAATTAACAGTGTTGACATAAAAATCAATGATCAAATCAAAAAATGAACCAGAAATCAATTCAAAAATAATCAGAATTACAGGTACAAGATCATCTGAGCTACCAGATCTCAGCCAGATAGCCAAGAAAAATATAAAGGGTGAAAGAGAGTAAATGTTCACCTTTCTCCATCGAAGATAACAGCCAGCCCATCAATGATGTCACCAACAGCAGCTGGGATACAACCAGTATCTCATGAATCAAAAACAATAGCAAAAATGGTGAAACCAGCACTGAAATCACCAAAAAAGAACAAAACCAGAAAAAATGAAATGAAAACAAAGAAACTCTATGACAACTATCATATATCATCACAAACTCATAGAACAACAATTACAAATGACATCACTATCATTGGGATAATGTAAATTGTCACGTAAAGGAAAAAGATGATAAAACAGCATTTCCCTTAAAAAAATGTGAAATTTGGAGAAATGCCATCATTGCTCTCAATGAAAATACTAATCAGACCCACAGCAACACTTATCAAAATAAAAAAATAAAGAAAAAGTGACAAAAAAGCTGAAATCATCACTGGAAGACTTACAAAATTTCCAAATCCATGATGAAACTGTGACACTTCGCCAAATGAAATGCGCAACAATAAAGTGCAGTTTTCTTATAAAAGACTAGAAAATAATGAACATAAAAGCAGCGTGTTCTCAAGAAATAGTAAAAATAATTTTCACTGAAAATACAGTCAGCTCTCACAACCAGAACACATTAATAATAATAGTAATATTATTAATAAAAGGAAGAAAAAGGAAAATAATATCTATTCAGCCAATCAAAATAGTAGATCAAAAATAGATCAATTAGATGATATCACACAAATCTATAAAATTAACACCATGCACACTATTAATGACATTAATGACACTAACAATCCAATTAAAAATAGAAAAATAAGAGCATGAAATAATTCAGAAATTGTGAAACTTAGTACAATAGCTTGAAAACTTGTTATAAAAATCAACTCAGACTATGAATTCACAAAAATCGAAGATTTTATCCCTTTTGACCTAACATCTAGCCAATTTAATTTATTTTTTTTATATAATTAATAATTTAAATTCTATATAAATAGAACCTCTTTTCTTTTCATTTTTTTATTATTCAAAAATTAACTTCAAATTCTTTTGATTATTTTAATCACACACAATAATTATAATTTTTTTTATTTTATTTTCAAAATAATGTCTATTATTTTTCTATCATTAGAAATACTAGCCTTATCTAACCAATTGTTACAAATAGTAAAAGAACAAAATTGTTCATATCGAGTTATTATAACCAGGAATGAAATTTGCTATTTTTATGAAGAAGAAACTAATGTAATCATTGAACAAGATTACATGTCAGACATCAACCAAGAACAATCAATGAAAGAAGTTAATATTACTCTGGCATTAACATTAACCAGACCAGAAGCAAGAATTTTGGATAGAATTAAGAATGCAGTAGACAAATTTGAATGCGCATCCTGTTCACCAAGATTAATATTCAATATTGATATCCTAGCTGATTACTTTATCATGTTGGAAATAGAACGCTATACTCAAAATATCATATACTTTGAAATTGGATGCATCTTAATGGATTTGATAGCAGTATATCCTAAGAAGATGCATCATCACCACCAATATCAAACAAAAAGTTTATACAGCATTTAGAATTCACTCATATTTTTAACAAAATCCTGAGTATATCTTATTGAAAAATTTGAATCAATATTTTAAGTCTAGCGCTATTGAAAGAATGACTGAACACAATAGTAATAGACTTAGAATCAGAATTAATTGGTTAATTGATTATTTTACAGAGCAAAACACTGACAATACGGATTCTGTCATAATATGACATTTGACGAATAATCTTATTGGATAAGAAATATATTAATTATTATTGGATTATATTTATTAATATTTCTATTGGATAGTTATTTTTAGATAGTTATTATTTTATTGGACAATTATATGTTAGATATTATTGGTTCTTATATTTGTGTTAACATCAGCAACAACAGCAATGATAACAATGATATCAATGCTTGTGTTAATGACAATAATGATATCAACACTCATATTAATACCAGAAATGCTGATAACACTTGTGTTTAATAACAACAACAATAGAACTAGTTATATTGTATAACATGTAATTTATATAAATATATCATGTATCTTAGCTTAGAAAAGAAGTTAATCAATTAGTTAATTAATAGTTAGTTAATTAAGTTAATAACTCAAGAAGTTTCTTGTTTGATAAAAACTTTGGATAACTTGTAAAGTTATATTTATATTGGTTTTTGGTTTTGAAAGATAGATCGCTTATAATAAATCATTATTATTGACTTGAAAGACAATCACTTGATAAAACTTATTACTTGTATCATAACTTTTGAAGTTCTAAATAATATACAAAACTTAGTGAAGTTATTGGATGTTATTCTAACTCATTTTAATAAAACACGTGATTAATACATCAAAAACTTAACCTCAATAAAAATGGTAACAATACGCAACAATGAGAAATTTGAACAGCTACTTGGAAAAATTTTCAGATGGACAATCGATCAAATAAAAAGAAAAATATGTGAGACTAAAAATAATAATAATACAAATAATGATACCTATAAATGCAACTTGAGATTAAATTTTAAGCTACCATACCACCACATAATTCTATCAACAGGATCTATTCCACTTTCTCTTGTACATTCTTACTGGCTTTTAAAACATGATTCAGTATCCTTATTGTCTTCATTATCATTATTATCTGACATAACCATCAGTAAGACTTTATATAAGCTTGAAGAAAAATACAAATCCCTAAATGATTGTAAATTAAAAATCACATTTTTGCAAAAAATCGAAGTCTTGGCTGCTGAAAAAAATATAGTTTCAAAGGCACCATTGCGTATTATATCTAAAGGATGATCAACATCCACCAAGTGAAATTCTCTTCTTAGTGAACTTCAAGATAAAGCCATCACAAAAAAAAGAAATGTAAAAAAACCAATACCCAAACTCATAAAAAGTTACTGCAACTCTTATATTATGATCAAATATTTACTTATATGTATAAATATATAAAAAAGGTAATAAATGTAAATGACAATGGCGATTGCAGGTACAGAGTACTGGCTGTGTGTTTAGGGAGAAATAAAAATAAATGATCAAAGATAAAAAAAATTTGCAAGAGGAATTAAATAAAAGGGAACAATTCTACTAATCATTATTTCTAGTTAATGATGATTATGTGATGATTATGAGAGAGATTTCTTGGATAAATGGTCCTTGCATATTTAAATACTGGATGAGAATGTCATTGATGGGAGATGTTATAGCAAACATCTATCAAAGATCACTACATTTTTTCTTACTACAAATAAATCTTACCTTTCTTCTGTATCATCATCCATTGAACTGAAATAAAGTGCAATGGCTTTTGTTAATAATAATCATTATGTAGTCATAATACTGAAATATGGTGCACCTGTACCTAAGGTTGCTTGCCAAAATCTTTTAGTGACCGCCAAAATTCTGTCAAAATTATAATAAACTATTAGTAAATAGCCTGCCAAAATCTCTTAGTGACTGCCAAAATTCTGTCAAAATTATAATAAACTATTAGTAAATAGTCTGCCAAAATTCTGACAAGTTTTGAAACCTGTCATAACTGAAATTCTAATTAACAATTAGTGTGTAACCCATCAAAATTATAACGATATTTTTCTGAAAGGATTTAGGCAAGCATCCTTACCTGTACCATTAATTATTAATTGATGGATATAATTTGCTACCTTGGCAGCAACAAAATGAAAACTACTAATTCAAGATCGTATAGTCCAATTTCTTTTTGCAAGTAATTTAACCAGTGAAATGATTTAGATAGGCAAGAAAAAATAGAGTAATACAATAATAATTATCTTACAAATGACAACTTTATCAGCATCTCATATAGAGAACATGAAATAAAGATTTTATAAAGAAAAATGTGTATATTCGTATATGTGCGTGTGTATAATTTAAAAATGAAGTTTGTTCGTTACATCATTGATAATCATGTGATTTATAAACCCAGGCAGTGGTCCGGAAAGATCACCTAATTCTGCACTGTCTCTAAGTACTGTTCGACATGGTCCGGAAAGATCACATGATTTTGCACTGTTCGTAGACTTCCCAATATTTTTATGGTGCATATTTTTATTTATAGATTTGCATCACTTAAATTAGAAATAATAATCTCGTCACATTTATCATTACGAATTTTATATATTTGTGATATAGCTCGGATGATATCGATTATGTAATCTCATAAGGTTCATACTGACGCGCGTATAATAAATATCGGTTTTTGTGATCGTCATAAAAAGATTGCGTAACATAGATGTCCAGAAAGATTACTTGTATTATAGCTTAACATGTCTATCACACTCTTCTGTTTAGTCCACGGTAGCACCTTTGAAGATGCCTTTCCTGTTAAGATTAAGAAGAATGAGGCTGTTGGTCAACTTAAGAAGCTGATTAAGGAGGAGAATGAGCAAACTTTTGCAAGCATTGATGCAAAAGATCTAAGGCTTTGGAAGGTGAATATTCCTCTCGACTCGCCTAACAATAAACGAAGTGCCCTTGAAGCTGACCCCAAAGTCGACATCGCAACTGTGCTGGAGGGTGATAGACTGTTACCTGCGGATGACATTAAAGAACACTTTGACAAGCCTGCAAAAAAACATATCCACGTTATTGTCGAACTGCCTGCTTCCTTCGGTGAGTTTGTAAGAGAATATCATAAAGTATTACAAAACAAGTGTTAACTTCGTTGAGTCGAAAAATAAAACTGCATCCGAATAATGTTGCTCTGCTGATTATACAAATCACAGCAATAATACTATATTTTGCGACGTAGACTGATTTATATCCCATCCATCTGTTTATTGAAACATTGGTATACTATTTTCAACTTTGGCTTTGTTTACTTCTTTCACATTCATTTATGCTCCGACTAATCGATTAATCAAGCATCTCCCTACCTTTCACAAGATGCAATCACCGAAATTCATGAAATACACAATAAACTTACTCAACCAACTATTGAGACTATATCCATCTCCAAAATCAATACAGAGAACTTCCAACTTTTAAAAAACCATCTTAATCTCGACATTGAAAATGTCTTCTTCGATATTCTCATTCATAGTAATGTAACACCACCAGCTTTCGAATGGAAGGAGAAGTCAGAACCGGCCCATAAAGATGAATATTTGGAATGGTTAAACAAATACATTCCTTTGACCAATGGTCGTATTTGGTATGATGTTGGGGGTAACCACAGCTTACTAGATGTGTATAAGGACTCCAGGTTGCCCTTTAATGTTCATAGTGGAACTGATGTAGTGGTTGTGAATAACTATGATGTTGCAAGCCGTTTGATTCCAGAAAGTATTTATGCAGTTCTGGAGTTGAAAAAAAAGATCGAAAGGAATCATGTGATGCAAGTCATTTTAGAAATGGTAATTGCTGATTTGGTTACCTCCAAAAATAGGATCGTTTTTGGAATCCTATCAGACCTCATAGATGATTGGCAAATTTTCTGGTTGGAAGCTGACAGGACAATAAAGAGTTGGAAAGCACAAAGTCGGAATGTTGCAATTCAAGTATTAAGTGAACTCTTAAGTGACAATCCCAAAACAAATCTGGAGAATACATCAATCATCATTCCGGCTGCCAAACGTGTCAAGTTGAATACTTTGTTACCTAATAGAACCCCAGGTGAATATGATGATATCGCTCGGATGGAAGATGTGTATGATGTTATGTCAAGGGAGGAAATTTGGCGTCATAAAGTTGGGATTGCTTCAGAAATTGTCAGAAATATTCCTTCCTTTTCGTCAATGTATGCATAAACTTTGTTAGAAGTGGTGGTATGTAGATATAATGTAAGAAGAAAAGCATGGGTATCAGCACTATATTTTTAACACTAATAAAGTTTTTTTTTTTACTTCAAGTTAATAAATTGCATGAATCAACTATGATTTTTCCCTACAGGGTCTTATGTGACCGCAAATTCCGAATTCGATTCTTGGACCGTGGTATTGCTATAATACAAGAGATTGATCAGTTAGCCTTTTTGTCCACTTTTGACGAATAATCAAACAAATCAAATTAATCGATGTATTTATACTTATCGTCAATAAATTGAGAGATATGATGCTTCAAACGCATGACCGACTATTTCATCCATATGTGTTTATCGGCACCGACACAGTACGAGTCATGTCTCACTCATGATAGCTGTTTAATATTTTATTTATATTTTTAAGCTAGAACCAATTTCGCGATCTCTGAAAAAATAAATTTCATGCAACATCCAGAGGGTCTATGTTACTGTGAAAAATCTTCACGATTATTATGCGATATTGTGCTCACATACTCCCAAAGATATCCTTCAGCATGAGCTTGAAGTCCTCGACATACTAATCCGATACTTTGGCTTTTAATTCCAGTTATGCGTTGTGCTTCAGCTAAGGATGGAAATTCTCGGAAAGATCCTTCATCGAAAATCTGCTTGATGGCACGTTTACGACAGTGACCCCAAAGCTTAAGGGGCACGGCATGTTGGGTATTTTCTTTTTGTGTACACCATTCGAGATTGGATGCTTTATTGTTGGTACGATTACCGTCAATATGATTTACACAATCTTTGCCTTCTTTTGAACAAAACGCTAATGCTACCAAACGGTGAATATAACATTGGTTGAATCGAAAATATCCTTCGTATGGTGCAAACCATTTATACTCATCAAAAATGTAGATCAGTCCGAAATTTTAAATGACGATCTTCACGTGTCCTT